CTGAACCCTATATAGGGTGGTTGTCAAAATTATGGTCCCTTTTTGGGTACCATAAATATTAGGTGCCGTATTATAATAGGGACCCAAAAAGGGACCATAATTTTGACAACCACCCATATGAGCTATAGTCTAGACTCCTGGTATCCTGCTTCATAACCCCCACAATACTCCCCTGTTATGCCCATACCCCTCTTTAAAGAGTTCTGACTATAGCTCATGAGCGTATGTAGCAACCATCACGCTAGCTTCAGAATCGAGTTGTGAATGCTTGAACCCCATACCCTAGCCTAACCCAATACCTAAATCCCCCAAAGTAGGAAACATCATGGTCCAAAACCCGAATGGTAGGCTATGATTCTGCATACTTTGGGGATCCAGGTAGTAGCTTCCATGTCATTCTGCATTTTCCGTTCCAATCAATTCTCCATTGCTGTAGTTGCACATACCTTAGAATGTCCCCATATATTCCCCACATTCAATCGGTAGTTTCCCAAGATGAGGAGACCCCAAGATAGACCCCAATTTACCATAATCCTTGAGATGGGAAACCCCCAATCCTGTCACGAACTAACTTTTGTAGGGGCGCGTGTGCGGAGCGCTCTCCAGGAAAAACTTGGACAACAGCGCTGTCAGGAAGAGCTTACTTTGGCCGACGATGAGGACAACCTGAGCTGTGGCAGCAAGTGATTATGAGTTTAGGGTCTAGGGTTTAAGATTTTTGGGGTTTAGGGTTTAGGGTTTCGGGCCTAGGGTTTAGGGTATAGGGTTTAGGGCTCAGGGTTTAGGGTATAGGGGTTTAGGGTTTCAGGTTTAGGGTATAGAGGGTTTAGTGTTTATGGGTTTAGGGTTTAGGGGTTTAGGGGTCTAGGGTTTAGGGTTCAGGGATACGGGTTCAAGGCTTAGGGTTTAGGGTAAGGATAGGCACCCTACATGAGCTACAGTCAACCTTGCCGATTCTAATTAACGGACATGCGCTCCTTCTTAAGCGATATATCAGGGACTAACGGACTGTGGGGTCTTCTATCAGGGAGGGATCACGTGGGAACTTTTTTGTGGTGCGTACCAGGCGTAGGGCTTGATCGCCAAGGGCAGTCTGCGAAGTAGGGTTCGCGTTGTTGTTTGCGAGATGAAAAAGGTGTTCCGTGGGAGTATTACGGACCACATGTGCGGATCAGTGTGGGGGGATTCTGTAGCAGCTTAAGCTGGAGATGCAGGCTTTACTCAAAGGGTGGGTCGTGGGTAGTTGTAACTAAGGTGTTGATGAGTGAGCTAGTCGCAATCTGATACAGACGATGCAAATTTTGCCCTAAACCCTAAATCCTAAACCCCCTTAACCCCTCCTTCAAGTAGAGCCTAGTCGGAGAGCTTAAGGAAATTTATGACCTGAATGATAGAACAGGTCGGACAACTGCGTTCAGTGTAAGGATTCCTCCGTTTGCAGTGATTCTAGGTTTCAGGGTGCAGGAAGTCGCCTTATGAGGGACCACCGCATGACATTCACTCCAATACAGGAGAGAGGACTTGACCACCTTCCTGCTAAGCCGTTACCTCCACAGCCCAAACTGTCTGTCAGGACTGTGAATAGGTAACCTTAGTCTAAGGTTGAAGGCTATGGGCCCCTAGTATGGGCCCTTAATCCTGGGATCCTTATATACCCACTATTTACCCTATATGTAGCCTTTAGAGTTCCTAGAATCCCAGTAAAAGTCCTTAAGGGTCCACATTAGGAGCCCATACTTCTAACCCTAAACCCTAAACCCTGAAACCCCGAACCCTAAACCCTTTAAACGCGCGCGCACGGCCCTAGCAAAAAACCCTTTAAACCCTAGACTTAGGCGTACACAGGGAAGGCGTAGCTCTGCTGCTTTGATACCGTCTCGAATGTGGTCCTAATCTCTGGATCCCTATGGTTCCCTAAGGGTCCAAGTACCCACTAATCATATACTTACCCAAAACCTGTACCATAATTACTATCACCCAAATCCCAAGTATCTAATTATTGGGTACATGGACCCTCTGGGGTTGATGGACAAAATCCTGCATGACAGAAACTATACTACCGTAGAATAATTCCTCCAAGATTTAGGTACCTGGGGTCAAGCAGGGTTTTCTCCATCAACCGTAGTTTTGGATTGCTGAGAAATAAACCGGTGTTGGGAACTCGAATGCATACCTTGATCGGGCCAAAGAGAGCTAGACTTCAAGAGCCAAACCGGTAAACACCCAAACCCCTACACACCCCAAACCTCAACCTCTGAATCCTACACGCCTGGACCCCTAAAACCCTCTATCCCTTAACCCTAAACCTCTAAACCCTAGAGCACTAGAGCCCAAGTCACAGGCTCCTATAAACTGAGCTCTGAAACCCAATGAGGTAAAGCTAAAGTCTAAGCTCCTAGCATCCTCTTAATAACCCCTGTAATAGTCCCCTATAGTCCCTAACCCCCTTTAAGGAGCTTAGACTACAGCTCAAATAGCAGGATAGTTTCCATCTCCTCTTCTTCTATTCCCAGAGGGTCTATGTACCCAATAATTAGATACTTGGGATTTGGGTGATAGTAATTATAGTACAGGTTTTGGGTAAGTATATGATTAGTGGGTACTTGGACCCTTAAAGGGATTACCTGCCAAGTCTTTGCGAAGGAAGCAGCGGGTGCAGAGGCCATGTTGCAGGCGATAGTCTGGAGAAGGTCACCGAGACCTTGGTAGAGTTTAGGGCTTAGGGTTTAGGGCGAAGTTCCTGGTGAGAACGCTATGGGCTTAGGGGATCTATAGGGATTATAGAGCCTTAAGGGCGCAAGTACCCAATAATCACTTGTTTACCCAAAACTTGTACGACAATTACTGTTACCAAAACCCCAGGCACCCAATTAATGAGTACATGGACCCTTAGCGGAGGATCCAATGTTTGGGGTTTTGGGGATATGCTTTTTAGAAGGTTGCCGAAACCTTGACCTGAGTGTTTAGGGCAGCGTACGGATCAACGGTTTTCTAGAACATATAGTACCTCGACCTCTACAGATTCGGTGGACCCCCCACCAAGTAATAGAGACTATAAGGGATAATAAGGATTCAATTGGGTTCCTACTATATTCCCATCATACCACCCTAAGCCCTACCTGAAACCCTAAACCCTCTAACCCTATCATATATACCACTATTACAGGGTGGGGGGTCCACGTTTGGGAAAAGGCGTTCCTGGCTTCATGTAGCTTTTGGGCTTCTGAGCTTGAAAGGGATGACTGGGGCAAGGGCTTAGGGTTTAGGGTGTAGGGTTCAGGGTTTCGGGTCTAGGGTTTAGAGTGGTGAGAATAATCCTGAATTAAGGCCCGGTAAAATATATTCTCGACAGGAACTGCAAGTAGGGGTGAGCTTGTTTGAGCTCGTCAGAACTTGCCCAGGATCATGTAGGGTTTTGTTTTGCTTGCTGGGGCTGAATAGGGAATACGGGATACGAGGGGATTTGTATGCCAGTGCCAGGGAGAAAGGAGAAGTGTCATCTTCGTGGTCGAACTAAGAAACAATAGATCCTTCCGCAAAACACGAACTATAACCCAGGCCTAAACCCTAAACCCTAAAACGCTCATTATAACCCAAAAGGGTGTAGAGTTTTTATGTTGAGGACCCTCATATCCCAAAAAGTGATTTTGCTCCAAGGACTCCTGTCCTACGGTAGAAGCCGCCACCTTGGGGTAATAGGCCTCCACTAGGCTCAAAAGGAGGATTTGGGTTTAGAGTATAGGGTTTAAGGGTTTAGGGTTTGAGGGTTTAGGGTTTAAGGGTTTAGGGTTTAAGGGTTTAAGGGTTTAGGGTTTTAGGGTTTAAGGGTTTTAGGGTTTTGAGCTTGAGGCTGACAGTATCAATGCGAAAATGGACAGAAGTCACTAGACCAGCATGGGCAAAATGGCGGTAACCTGAATAGCAGAGACACTGAGAAAAAAAAGTACAAACCAGTGAGTTGAGGCCTCATGCTACCCTAGTATACTATAGTGGTTTCCATGTTCTTTTCCATTCTCCCAATATAACCCCAATATATACCCTATAATCCCTATATAACCCCTACATAGTCCGTAAAATCTCTGTAGTCTCATTTCTCTTGAAATTGCTCGCGTTGTCGCATTGTTGCTGCTGCCATCTCTGGTCTGGTTATTTGCGGCTACAGCTCTTGCGATTTTACTGGTGCACGAGGAAGAGTGGGGGGAGCGAATACAAGTACTGTATGAGGAGTTCGATGCATAAGCGGTCATCTGCGACAGAGTGTTACAAGTATCCACCCCTCTACTCTCCCGGATCACTACTTAAGTTTCGATGGGACGATGGTGAGAGAGCAGTCGCCATAGTCCTACACAGCCGGTGCCGGGAGACCGTAAAGGCACCCGATCGGCAGCGCGCACCTGAAAGACCTTGAGTCAGACAAACGAAATTGGGCGGAATGCTTGAAGCAACTTGTCCCAAACCCTATGTAACCTTACTCGATTTCCCTTATTCCCTACTAATCCCTTCCCCCCAATGTTAAAACCACCCCCCCTAAATTAACTAATAAACTCAAGGACCTAAAGCATCCGGAAGACTACTTTAACAAGGAGAAGACTACCTTTGAAAGGACCACCTAATAATGAATTGGGGGGGATGAGGTCCTTAGGGGGTAGAATAAGAAATACCAAGGAGTGAGGGATCGCCTTGATATCAGGAAGTTTTCATTAATAGATGAACGCAATTTTAATGATTTTGTTACCATTGTAGCTGTACTGAATTTGATTGTAATTAGATTTCAATTGTATTTAAGTAAATCTCAATTGGTTTTAATCCGATTTAAAATTCATTGGGCTCTAAAAGGGCTTTTAGAGGCGACCCTATCTGATGCTTTCTAGAAATATCCACCACTAACATTGAAAAAAAAAGGGTAGGAAGGGGGGGAGGGTGGGGACGTCGTTTAAGTTAGGGGGAGGCGATTAAGAACCGGGCCATGAGGACTATTAAGCGTGGCTACTCACATCCAACTCTCGATCAGCTTTCAAGCCCTTGATTGCGGTTTGCAATCGATGTTTGTCCCAGACATGGAAGGTCCAGCAGAGGTTTAGGGATTACAGAGTGCACAGTAAAACACATTTTTGGGGTTCTTACACCCAGTGCTCGCTATTCAAGTTTTGGGGAGCATATGGTAATCTTATACCACAGCCACCCCAAGTAGATAGAATATGGCTTTGGGCATATTAGAATAAGATCTTCATATACCCTCTAAAAGAGATCCGAACTGAGATTTATGTCCCCTAAGGCCCTACGGGTCCAAGTTCTCCATAATCACATATTTACCCAAAACTTGTGCTACAATTGCTATTACCAAAGCCCCAGATACCCAAATTATTGGGCACATGGACCCTTTGGGATTGTAGGTTGTGACAGTCGCGGTCCCTTCTAGGGTTCCCATTGTTACGTAGTACGGCCCCGTATATTTAGGATATGCAAGGCTGGGCTGTGAGTTTGCCAGAGTACCAGGGGCTTAGGGTTTAGGGTTTTAGGATTTTGGGCTTGGGGTTCAGGGTTTAGGGATTGTGACTAGGGTTTAGGTCTTGGGCAAAAGACCCTCACCACACCAACATGGAACCCCATGAAGGCCACTTCCAATAGGACGGAAATCCTCAAAAGCCCCAACCCTAAACCCTAAACCCTAAACCTAGTGAAAGGATGCTGGTAGCCCATGACCTTCACATGACTCTTACAGGGGTCCTTACTGTTGACATTAAAAATCCTGCATGACCTTAGTATACTACAGTACCATAATTCCCAAGGTATAGGGTACTTAGGGTAATGCAGGACTTTTTGTATCCACTGTTAGGCCAGGAGTTTGGGGTTACTAGCAATAATCGTTACTTTTTTGTGGGTTCCATTTCAGCTTTGGGAGGCTTACCCGACAGGGAAATCAGAAAGGTAAAAGCAATGCGGTATCCTTTTTTAAGCATACTCGTGGAACCCCTAAGCCCTAAACCGCGAGAGTATTGGGATTGCAGACGGATTCCGAGTCCCTGCCAGAAAATTGTGGAGGAAAGGTTCTGAGAAGTGCTCATAGCAGCGTTTCCAAAAGTAGGTTCCCACGTATACTATCATGCTTCTTTGTGGAGCCCCCAAAGCAGGGACCCCTAATGATTGGAACCCCCCCATATAACCCTTAAACCCGAAACTCTAGTCGCAATTTCAAACCTTCATCCCTAAAGCCTCTAAACCCTAAACCCTAAAGCCTCCACCCAAATCCCGGATGTCCCGCCTCCAATCCAGGAGCTCTTGGACGGAGACCTGGCCGTAGCAAAGGCCAGACATAGCAGCTCCGGCTTCGGGGGATTCAACATTGGTGCTCTTGATGGATTAGGGTTTAGGGCTTAGGGTTAGGGTTTAGGGTTTAGGGTTTAAGGTTTCCCGGGTTGCCCTGAGGGATTGTAAGGGGATAAGATGGGGGTCCTCATTGGGGTTTACATCCAGAGTTTCTTTGTAAATAGATCAGACTACCTTGGACTTTCATGTACAAACAACCTAGACCTAAGCAACTCAAAACATGGACAAGCACATTGAAAGACAATGGAACATGACAAAAGTGTAACTTTGGATGATACAGGATTTCTGGGGCTTCCCGAGCTAAGTCGACTCTTGTTTTGGAGAGGCCATCTTCAACGAGGTGATACAGCATTATATATCATGAGTTCCCCCGACGACCCTCTATGCCGTTTTTTCGGGTTCCCTCCCGCCAACATTCAACAAGTGACACTTAAGCCCAATTACAATTCCTTGAGGAGGAGCCAAGGGGGGGTAGTATAGAGAAGGGTACTAAGAAATCCCATGGTATATAGAGCATTATATAGGGTTCTACAGAGTTGTATAGGGGTATTCTGAAGAGTTATATATTATACAAGTATGCATTGGAAGATATAAGCGGGAATGGAAAAGACAGTGGGCGCCACCAAATTCTTTTGGAACAGGGAGACTGATCAATTGTATCTTTTACAAGGCAACTTTATACCCAATATGTTGGTTTCTTTGCATCTTCTCTAGGTGTGAGGTTTCCCGATACCCTATACCTTAAAACCCTTTACCCTCAACTTTGGACTTCAGTAGTGGCGAAGGGCTTAGTCTGCTCAGCCGTATATTGAAGGTTCAAGGGTTAGTTAGGGTTTAGGGCATGTCAAAAAATCATAACCTGTAAAGAATCAGCCAATGAGGGACTCTTGTTCTACACAAAACATAATTTGGGATGTGCTTGGGTGGTGTCGCCATCATTTGCCCAGGGACAAAACTTCCCAGGGTACACTGCAATCGCCGCAGATGGGTCCAGGGTTGAGGGTACAGGGCAGCTCAGCCCTAAATCCTAAACCGAAACACCGACTGCCTCAAGAGATGGGCTCTGACCTTATGCCTCCCAAGCCTTGTATATGTCTAACCTTCCACCCTTCTAAGCCCTACTGCCTAAACTCCTCAACCTCAAGCCCAAAACTCCTAAACCCTGACCTACTACACCCTAAACTGCCCTAAACCACCCCCACACCCCAGTCCTAAAACCCTTAAACCTTCAACCCTAAACTCCAAACCCTTTCGGAGGCATCCTTGGGCCTATTCTCAGGATGATGGTTACCACCCACTTACAGTGGTAGGATAACAATGTAGCGTTTACCTAGGCCCTCCAATGTAGTTCCTTTTTGGGTTTGGTATGGTTTTTTGGCTTAGGGTTCTTATTAGGACTACCAAAAAGGTACTACATTGGAGGGTCTAGGTAGGGTTTAGAGTTTAGGTTGGCCTGTAATGCATATATATATACACACATACATACATACGTACACACGTTTTGTGGTCCCCAAAACTGGTGGTTGTACAAAATGATATACCAGCCCCCCAAAATGGCCATAATGTAGGTTTTTTTGTTAAGATTCTGCTTGAAGAAGAAAGTTTTCATTTTATTTTCCATTATCCCAATATAACCCCCACTATAACCACCTATACTACCGCATATATAGACGCTAATCCTTTAACTAATCACCATACCCTATTATATTCCCAGTGTCAAACCTTTCAAAGGACCAATAAGGCAACCTGCATATACAGACTGTAATAGCATTGATTACAATGATCCCGTGCGGCCACGCTTAGTGGGTGGGACACCTATACTTGGATCCTCCCAGAGAGGGATTCCGGGTTGGACCGAAAAAGCTGAATTTCCTGGTTTGGGGTTTCCCTACTACTGGTAATTCCAGTGAGCCTTTCAGGGGGACTACTACAACCCGATAACTATATTATACATACTATCCGACTGTTATAGAGCGGGGGCAGTATCCAGGGGTCCCTCTGGAGAACTGTATGCAAGCCATGTTGAGAAACTCCTAGATCATGTGGGAGATCACACTGGAACACTTAATAGCACATATAATAAGAAGAGGAAACTAGTAGCAGTCATAATCAGAGTAGTTAGTAATCCTTCTACCAGGAAGCTTCCTAAGGTTCCATGTTAGCCTCCCTAAACCCTAAACCCTAAGGCCTTCAGCCCTTCAAGACCCTAAACCCCTAACCTAAACCCTAAACCCCCAAACCGGCCTGAATGGAGCTGCGAGTGCGCACCACCGTGAAGGCCGCCAGGACAACGGCCACCGTTTGTGAGGTCATGGTGAGCTCGATCTGACCACAAAAAAAAGGTTCAGGGTTTTAGGGTTTAGGGTTTAGGGTTCAGGGTTTTAGGGTAAATTGTTGGGGTTATTTAGGGATTAGGGTTTAGGGTTTACATTGTTGGGGTTATATAGGGATAAGGGCAAAGAAAATGGAAACTACTATTTAGGGTTTAGGGTTCAGGGTGTAGGGTTTATAGTCCCCCTTAAGTAGATGGAATATGGCTTTCGGTAGATTATAAGAAGACACCCATATACCCCATGTTCTATCTACTGAAGGGGGACTATATGGCTTAGGGGTCTTCGAAGGTATTTACTATCGGACTTAGGATGTAGCATGTACCAAAGGCCCAGGCAGGTTCCCACATACTCACATTGGCCAGATATATACTCTACAGCTACATGAGCCATAGTCTAAACTCCAAGTAGCCCCCTTAATATCCCCTATAGTAGTCCCCTATATAGTCCCCTATATAACCCCCCTTTAAGGAGTTTAGACTATAGCTCACATGGACTCTTTTGGGAAGCGCCTTGCAGCTGAGGATGCAGGTTTCTCAGGCTGAGGATGACAAGGAGTCTTACTGGCTGCTGAATAAGGTGTTGAAAACTGAAATGTGTAAGTTATATGGGTGGTTGTCCAAATTATGGTCCCTTTTTGGGTACCCTAAATATTGGGTGCCGTATTATAATAGGGACCCAAAAAGGGACCATAATTTGGACCACCACCCATATTCCTTACAAGACCTCAATATATGCCCTAAACCACCAACCCTAAACCCTGTGTTTGTTTCAACGCTGGACCAGCTTAGGGCCCCTGAGTTGAATACCACACGATTTGGAATCTTGCGGCTGCTGGTATAGTGGCTCTGAAACTTCCAGCGTTTCGTGTTGCTTTGCTATCCCATTGACCTCCTCCAAGATCTATGGTTTAGGCCCTCTCCTGATTATGAGAACAGTCTAAGCTCCACCAGAGGTAGTTTTTTTCCTTGTTGAAACATTTACAAAGACAACCCTCCCCAGCGGGATTGAAGATTCAGACGTTGGGCTTCAAGTAGGGTTCAGGGTGTAGGGCTTAGGGTTACATATACGGCTCATGGGTCGCCTTCCTGAACCTTGCCTGGACATGAAGTAGGTTCCAAATGTAACCACAAGGGGTTTGGGGTTTAGGGCTGCTACATTACATACTGAAAACAGGGCCCTACCGAATCCCACTTTGCATGTCTTGTTCCATGTTCTTTTCCAGCTCGTTCTCCAGTCTACCATAAACCCCCGAATAATAGTTGCCACCCCAACCCTCAACCCTTTTGAACCCTGAATGCTAACCCAAACCCCTGATTAATAAACCCCCTCCCCTTAATAGGGATTATAATAAGGGTCCTAATATTTAGGCCCCTAAAAGGAAGGGGTTTACTAATCATGGGTCTACATTATACATGTTACATGGTCCCGCCCAACTGCATCCTTGGAGTGTAGGAACTATCCTGTGGGTTACTCTGAATACTATGGGCCCCATTTGGTTATAGATTATTTTAGGGCTCCTAACATTTCGGGGTACCCAAAATGGGACCCTAACTTTGGGAACTACCCATTTAAGGCAAAGCGCTTAGGGTTTAGGGTCGGAACACTTCACGCCCTGCTCCCTGGCCGACTGCCTAAGGTCCCCAGGGAGGGAAACACACGCAACCACCACAGATGGGTCCCTTTAAAGGGGTTATATAGGGATTATATGGGGATAATGGAAAAGAAAATGGAGACTACTATTTAGGGTTTAGGGTTTAGGGGTTATAATGCCTACGTGTCAGGGCTGGCAGGCTCGTAGCCTAACTTCAAGAAAGCCCGGCTCATGTTCCAACATGTTCCGACACTGGTCTTACCCGGGTTTAGTAGAGAATAAGGGAACACATCATGTAGTGAGTATTTAGGGGGTATGGGCCCTTCTTCCCCACTAACCCTAAACCTTATGTATTGCTGTACTCCCTGCTAGCCACCGGTAAGTGCTTTGGCCGGGCAACCACTTTGAAGGGCATGGCGCGCTTGGCCGTCCATTCGCAACCAGTGCTGGTACATATGTGGATCTCGGCCTCAGTTGGGTAACTTTAGGGTTTGAAGTTTAGGGCGATGTAGGCTTTTCTAGTCTTCAACATTGGAAACCCTAAGCCCTAAACCCTGAAACAGAAACACAGAGCGCCAAAGGAACTGGCTAGGGTCGCTTCTGATTGCGTGGATCTTATTACGCTAGCTTGATGCCCCCACCCGACATGTTTTGAAGTTTCCCTAAAAAAGGGGACCTCCGTGTAGACCCCAATATAGACCCCAAAATACGATCATCCTTATGATAATGACCACCATTATAATGACCACAGAAGAGTACCGTGATTCTAGGCAACCCCCGATTCAGTTCTGGCTCTGTACGTACCTTTCTGCGGACCATGGCCTTCTCTCAACGACTCCTGTGCCACCTGCACTACAACCCCAACATCCAAACAATGGAAGGTTTCCCAGAATTAGGGCCACTAATAAGGGGTATAAGTAAGTATTTTTGGGTCTATTTAGGGAAGCTACCAAATCAAATCCGGACTTATACATGTCTTGGGTCAGATTGTACGGGCACCGGGTCGCAGCAGCAGCTAACAGCAGAAGCTGAGATGATAGTATACGAGCCTTGAGCAGTATTCTTGAGGACGGTCGACACATAAACTTTCTAGAAGGAGAGCAGTTAGACAGCAACTAGATTTGTTGCTGTTGCAGTTGGTGCTGATGATGCTCAGAACCCTGCATGAGCTTAGCATGGCATAGCAACGAAATTACCAGCAAGATGATTAGCATCAGCCGCAGCATTCCAATTCTACCATCATGCTGGCGTGGTAACCGCGTCAAGACTGGAACCTGGACTCTTTGCCCCCGTTGCGCTGGAAACAGAAATAAACAGCTTCACGCCTGTAATCTAAGCTTGATTGGCCTTTGGAGCCTTTTCTGAATATCTCTATGTAGGGTCCTTTGGAGCCAATCAGGGAAGGTATTTAAAGACGCCAAAGGCGAACCCGGCAAGGAAACCCATACCCCATGAGGCATCAAGGTGTTGACCTAGAAGTCCTAAAGCCTCAACTGCTGCTTCCAACTGCTTAGGGATATAGTCCCCCTTAACTAGATAGAATATGGGGTATATGGGGGTTATCACATACCCATAGTCATATTCTATCTACTTAACAGGGACTATCAACCCTAAACCCCGAACCCTAAACCCTAAATAGTAGTTTCCATTTTCTTTTCCATTATCCCTATATAACCCCCAAGAATAACCCCAATTTTCTATCTACTTAAGGGGGACTATAAACCCTAAACCAAATACAACCCTAATGTTCTATCTACTTAAGAGGGACTAGGTTGAGGGTGAAAATCCCAATCTGCTTAGTCCAGGTGCTGATTTCGCCAGCTCTGTGCACAAGGGATGGGCAATGCCAATGAGAATGCTACAGATCGCCTGGGCTCATCTTTTTGGGTTTAGGGTTTAGGGTTTAGGGTGATGTTCCGTGACAAATTTTGCCCAAGAAGGTCCAAATGTTCGGGGTTTCAGGTAATCACTTCTCCCTGACAATCGCTTCAAGACTCCGAGCGGAAGCAATAAAACCTGAAAGACCACTTGTTTAAAAGGCTGAGACTAAGGACATTCCCCACGCTGAAAAAATGCGGCCGCCGGAACACAATAACAACAAGACCCACATTCATAAAACCCTGAAAATGGTAATTATTTCGGAACATCGAATTTAATTGGTTTTTCATTGGCTGTACATAGGTTTTCAAACCTACATTCTTGAGATAGCTCAATCGAGTGGGGCCGGGGGGGGGGTTGAAGCGAGGCCAACATTAAAGTAACGAGGAATTGGGCGGGTCAACATCTTTTTCAAAAGCAACATGGCGCAACACTAGGGGAAATGAATGACTATCCCAAAGTGCCACCTAGCTATAGATCCTCAAATACTGCAGAAACAGAGGTTCCAGACTCCTGAACCCTGAATCCTGTAATCCCAAGCCGCAAAACGCCTCAAATCCTAAGGCCCAACAGGAAATGTCTAAACCCTGGAATCCCAAACCCCAAGAACCCCTAAACCCAAATCCCTAAACCCCAAGCCTGTCCTAAAGCTCTGAACGTATGTAGGGGCCGTGTCGCAGCTACGAGCCTGATGTCCATCGAGCAAATATCTCTCCTCCACGCACAATGTAGGGTTTAGGCTTTAAGGCTTCTCTTGTGTGTGCTGCTGTGTCCTCTTTTCGAGGGGGCTAGGGTTTGGGGCCTTCGCCCATGAACACCTTATTCTGGGCTGATGCTAGGCTCGCTCCCTGCTAATTGCGTTGGGCTAGGGTACCCTGTATTCTGAGTATAGACTGAAGTCGTACATGAAGCAGATATCATACTTCAATAACTGGATAACTCCGCTTCCCAGGATCTTATCCCTTGATAGGCGATCTACCCATCACACCATCAATCTTGCGAGGGGATTCTGAATATCATGAGTCCTTACTCTCTATTCCGTGGGTATAGAACAGGAACTCTCTTTTGAGAAAACCACGATGTCTATTCAACAGGAATTAGCGGGAACTTGGAAAATCCCAATAACAGCCCCTATACTATAGGAGCCTGAATGACTACCAATTGCTAATATCAGTTTGAAGTCCATTTGAGGTACCCCAGATCTAATTTTTACAAGAAATCTAGAACCATGTCTTGGGAATTTCTTAGGCCCTATAGTAGTTGGTCCACCAAACTCCCTGAAACCAACTCTCCCATACCCAACCGAGCATGAAGAATCCCATCCACCTTATAACAAATCTAGTACCATCATCAACCCTAAACCCTAAACCGCGTCTCATTAGGATAAAAAGCGGTGTTAGCCGGCGAGGGGACTATCGTGAGCCCTTTGCCCTATTGAGCGGTGTGGGGGGATTGTAACGGGGAGGGGAGTAAGATTAAGGACCAGCAAATGAGCAACTATCCTATAGAAATACCCTGCATAAACCGAGTTTATGTTTTTCAACATTTCAGCTTCTTTTCCAGCTGACTCTCCCTTGTCCCTCAGCTTAAACCTCAAACCGTATAGATGCCCTATACACCCTTATAGTAACTCATCGGGCGCCTAGACCCTAAACCCTAAAACCAAAATGCTAAACCCTAAATCCTAAACCCTACACCCAAGCAAGATAACGGCGCTATCGCCTCGTCGCCACCAGTAACTCCTTCACGCAGCCAACCCTTTCCGATTGGATCTTCCTTTGGTGCATGGCCTGGACAGGAAGGAAAGGGGGATATGGGGCTTATATCGGGTTTTATGATTTTTATATAGGCTTTATAGGGTTATATAAGGTTTCAGGGGGTTCATAGGGTTTTATATGGCTATATAGGGGTTATATTGGGATAATGGAAAAGAAAATGGAAAGACCTACTACTTAGGGTTTAGGGTCTAGGGTATGGGGGAAAAGTGAGGTTACATGAGGTTACTATATGGGTTACAGGGCTCATTAGCCTAGTTACTAAGTCCCCCTGACCCTCCAAGTAACCTGCTGGGGTTCAGGCTTCAGGGTTTAGGGCAGCCCCGCCGCACCAGTACGGGAAATGACTTGTTTGGGGGACATTGCACCGCCAAGTCCTCACAAAAAAGGGCTTCAACAGCCCTGATACACAACCAAATCCTTCCCCAAAACGACCCAGCAAATCGCCATATGAGCGGTTAAAATATGGGTATATAATTTTGATTGAAAACTCAAGCTTCCGCCCGCGGGCCCGCGGGCTTCCGCGGACCTTTCGCGAGTCCTGCGAGAAGACAGGCGGCAGGTTTTCCGACGCTGTACTTTCGCGGGCTATTCCGCGGACGTTTTCGTCTAAGGTGCTTACGTGGCACTTCCCCGGCAGGGAGTTCTAGTCTTCGGCGCTATCCGTCCAAAACCCGAGCGTGCAAAAAGAAGAGCTTCCGCAAGCGAATTGCTTCCATGTTTGTTTCCGCGAGCTTCCGCGCGCACAGTGGGAACCACCGCTTTTCTGCAGTTGTTGCCGGCCGATTCTAATTGACTGTCGCCTATTTGCTTACCTGCTCATATGACTCCTATACAATGTAGACCCTTATTCCCTATATCACCCCTATACAGTCCCTATAAAACCCCAAAAACATCCCGTGCCTCACCATTCCACGTGTCAACTTAAATATCCTCTGCTTGGTTCCCTAAACCTCAACCCGAAAACCTAAACCCTGGGTGACTGCAGCCAAGGTGCCACTAGCAGATGCACTGGTCTTCAGCGCGCTATGTCCGGCCCATCCAGCTAAGTCCTACAAACTTACAATTTCCAAAATATCGAACGTGGGATGTGAGCGAGGAAGATTACTTGGCCACAAACAGAGTCATGGCGCAAACATGTGTCGGCATCTCCACGTCAATGTCCTTAAGCCCCAGACAAGTTAATGCCCTTCGCTACTTTCTAGAAAATTCTGTATTTCTACAAATGGTGCACATGAATCCTGCTTGCTGTTGCCATGTGCCCTTTGGCGCATAGATGGACTCAGCCCAGTCAGCCCAGCACCAAGCTTTGAGCCCCTAACTGCAACTTTGGCGCTGCACGGGGTTTGGATCAGGCTGAAGGCGCTTCAACATTCCAGATTTAAAAACTAAGCAGCTGTCACAGTGAGGCAGAGAGGCACCACAGGATGCCTGACAACTGTCTAGGATGGCTCTAGTCTCTAGACTCGTTGTAAGCTGATGATGTGGAATTTTATAGAAAGTCCACAATTCTTCTTGCTCATCGGCAGTATGGTTCTGCAGCGTGCTTTCAAAGTCGAAACTCTGGACTGCTTCAAGATCATGCAGGACTCTCAAGGACTTCTGTAGATCTTCTAGGCCTCCACATGAAAGAACACATCTCAAGAACGTCTCCGTATGCGGAGTACAAAAGAATTCAATTGATAATTGTCAAGCCTTCTACACTAACCGCCTGTGTGGTCCTCCTGGTATAGGGACCTTGCTGATACGGGGAATGTGACAGGGAACGTGGCATGGGTTGCCCAAACATCACCCCGTGCGCTTTGAACTGCCTCAAGAGGAATAAATGACGTCCTGCAACGTATGTTATGGTCTTATACCAGACCTTCGACGTCTCAAAAGAGGCTCAAAAGGAGAACTGCGAAACCTTCAGGTTCACACCAGCTACAATCAGTACTGGTATGTATTTCCTACATAAGCTAGTTGCAATGGGTTCCTTATAAGGGACTGTGTGAGGGGCTACATCAAAGTACAAACGAGACTCCTATGTCCACTGTTAAGGGTCCCTTGTTAAGACTTAGCCCACATTACCCTAGGGAGAAAAAAGGATCCTTTTTACATAAATACAAGGAATCCCATACNNGATCCCTAACATTGATCCAGAAGAAGGCTAGTATTGACAGCAGCTCATATGTGCCACGCATGACGGTGGCAAATGAACACCAAGCCCCGAGTCTGTGAAAGCCAAGAAAACAGATGGGTTTAGGGTTTAGGGTTTAGGGTTTTGCGGCTTAGGGTTTTAGCGCTTAAGGGGAAGTATCCATACCCCAAGGCTCCATGTAGGTACTACTTATAGGGGTTTAGGCTCCAATGCAGGTATTCTTGTAGACTTAGAGCACCAGGGATACCAGAACAATTATACCAGCGTTGCACACAACTACTTAACTAGCGTCCTCAGACCTCAACTCTAAACCTTGGGTACTGCCCCCCCTCACTAACAGTTGGATAATACTTATAATATGGTTATATATAGCCCTTAATAGGACCCCCAATATAGACTGTTGCTGGGAGGGGGCAGTACCCAATCTAAACCCTAAAAACCCTAAACCAACAAGCGAAAAGGATCTCTAGCGGCTCAGGCTTGCGAACGAAAAATCAAAGATCCTAAGCCCAGAAGTCCAAGTACGCAATAATTAGGGATTTGGGAGTTGGGCAGTAGTACTTTTAGTAGAGGTACTTTGGATTCGGGTAATAATAATAATTCTAGAACAGGTTTGGGCATGTATGTCATCATTAAATACCTGGACCCGTAGGGCGACATTTACGTATGCCTCAAATAAGTAGGTAGCATGATGGCACGGAACCCATGAAAAATCGATTGTCACTGTTACTGGTTGTTGCCGAGCCCTGAGCCCTAAACCCTAAACACCAAACCCCTTCGTCCTAGAGATTCCTGAAGAAGAAACACCGAACCCCAGACCCTTGACCCCTAAACCACTAAACCCCAAGCCCCTAAACCCTTTCTGAGCTATGGTCTCAACTTCTAGTATACCCCTTAATGACCCCTATCATACTCCCTATATAATCCCCTGTATAATCCCCCTTCAAGGAGTTTAGACTGTAGCTCAGATATCCTAAGCCCCCAGAAGCCAGGCCCCACACGAAGCGAGCCACCTCAAGACTGTCCTGCACATTGAACTCCAGCTCCTGGGGCATGGTGCCTATTAGGGTTTAGGGGGTTTAGGGTTGAGGGTTTAAGTCAGGTTCATGGGTTAGGGTATAGGGCTCGTGTGAAAAGAGTTGGGATGATGATGATGATGATCATCATCAAAGTCATCACTGCCATGATTCATGTGCTTTACTAAATGTTACTTTGTATGTGTTTCTTCTTTTCATGCGAGATAACCCATTCTCCCTAGTCTTAAGACACTCTCTGATAGGGAGGTTCGAAGATTCCAAATTCTGAACTCTGCTCCCAAGATTACTGTTAAAATTCTACGAGCTCTTCGGACCCCTACTACCTGGTACCCCACTA